CTCATTGTGTATCCAGTTTTATGTGTGTGAAAATGTCCCGTTTCCATTGGTTAGTGTTTCTCGTTTTCTACTGCAGGATTTCTGGACAGTCATGTCTCGCGACTTCATGGCATTGATCACTCCCACAGGACTTCCGGTGCCCATTGTTCGTCAAGGTACATTGGTGTATCTTACTCCTACGGTGATTCCTTTCTCGTCGTCCGATGCACCCAGAAGCGAACTGGAGATTAACTCTCTCATGGCAGAGATTGATCTCAATGCGCTGGACGTGGAACTTCGCGGTGTAACAGACATTGCTGATCTTGCTTATGATCATGTGTCTAAGATCTCCTCGCTCATTGCTGCTGCACAGAAAGGTAGGAAGAAGCAAAACTTCAAGCACATGGACTATTGGGAAGTAGATGACACGACGCATCAATTGATTCGTCATCACGTGAAACCCAGAAGTGCCATGTTTGACCTTGGCAGATTGAGCAAAGAGATGCCCGTAGAAGAAGAGAGACTGACAGGTAGGAGAGAGACCCGTCAGTCCTACAAAGATGGCAGTCGTAAGACGGTGATTGATGCGGATTTCCGTTCATTGGAGGACTCCAAGGCTAAGGATGATCGAGAGTGGACTGGGAGCACTCGCTTCGCATTGAGGCAAAGGCTGCGTAAACGTCCGGAGGCTTCGCAGCCCCCGAAGGCATTGACGCCACAGCCCAAAACATCACCTAAACCTGAGCCCTCGCAGGCATTGAAGCCCAGCTCTGAAGCGTTAAAGCCCAGTAGTTCTCCCGTTGAGCGTCGTGTGTTGAGCCGAGGGACCGAGGTATTGGAGACCTTGGATTCTGAAAACACGCTTTTGAGCAGATTGCGTTCTGTTCAGGTGTTTGACAACAAAATGAAAGAAGATCTATTGCGGCTCTACCACACTCCTGACCCACTGACGGGAACGGAGCGAACTACTGACTACTGGCTTCAACTACCTACGTTTTGGATTCGCATGATTCACCAGAAACGAACTGATTTGGTTCATCCTGATGATGAGCCTTCCCCGATTGATGCCAAGCGAGATAACGAATTTGGCGACTCACTGATGGCAGATCGCTACACATACGTTGTGGAATCTCAGTTCCCTGAGTCGAATGGCACAGAAATTGAGGACTATTGGTGTTCTGTTCGTGATGATGATGGTACTGTTACAGAACCTGAACAAGATCCTCGTAGGGATTTGTTTCAAGCATGGAGAGGATTCTCTGTCTTTGTTCCCATTCCGATCGAGTATGAGAGAACTGAACAGGAAACCTCAGATAGACATGCGAGAGTCCCGAAAGGATTGAAGGTTCCTGGTGAACCCTCTTCGTCCGAAAGAAAACAACACGAGTTGACTCATTTGCCATTTAGGGATTGGTGCCCACATTGTGTCAAGGCGAAAGGCAGACATGGTCCAGCCAAGAAGCAGATTGACCGTCAGCCGGTTATCCAAGTGGACTACTGCTTTAGTGCCACTCACAAGGATTTGCCTCTGCAGAAGGTTCTGTCTGCAGTTGACGTGATATCAGGATTGGGCATGGCTGTCGTTGTCCCATCGAAAGATTGACTACAGTGTAGCCGAACTGAAGAAATTCATCTTCGAATGTGGTAGGACATTTGGCGTGTTGCAGTACGACCAAGAAAGTCCCCTCAAAGCATTGTGTCAACGTGTTTGCTCTGAGTTAGGTGGATTGAGCTTGCGCGCAGCCCCGAAGGAACATTCCCAGTCTAGTGGATCTGTAGGACAGATGCAACGCACATTGTACGGACAATTGCGTACGCTGCTGTACCAGGTTGAGCACAACACTGGTTTCGCAATCGACTCCAACAGTGCATTGTATCCTTGGGCAGTCAAACACGCGCAGTGGTTGATCAACCGATACCTCGTGCATTCTGACGGATTCACATCGTATTTTCGTAGGTGGAACCGAAACTATGAAGGTGGATTGTGCGCATTCGCAGAGTGCGTACAAGCTAAGGTCATCACCCCTTCAAAAGCACGAAAGGCAGACACGCCCTGGAAGATTGCTTTGTGGCTAGGTAGAGATACCGAGGCGAATGAAATCATTGTGGCAACAGAAGACGGTGTAGTGAAAGTTCGCACTGTTAGAAGACTGCCACCCTCACAGCATTGGCAGGTAGGACCTCTGAAGGAATTGCAAGCTCTTCCATGGAAGCCTAAAGCCAGAGAAGAGCCCACTACCGACTTTGTACTGCCGAAGTCATTGACGGTTACCGGTAAAATCAGAGACCCTCCAGGATTGGAGAAAAGTAGTGTTGCTACTCCCGAGGTTCCCCAAGAAACCCCTGGTGAAGCCATTGCTGAGGAGCTCCCTGCGTTAGAGGACCTTCCGATTCGAGTCGCAGAAACCTCGATTGGAGAAACTGAGAGATCCCCGACAGTACGCAGGACAGCTGAAGAGGAGATTGAACGCCCAGCGAAATCTCTTAGGATAGACCCAGATGCACCTTCCGTTCCTCCGCTGAGCAAGTCGCAGAGGATTGCTTGCGTGGTAGCTTCTGTCACGAATTGGATCTGCGGACAGGTTGGTGTCGCTAAGGTCACGACCAAAGATGGCATTGACATTCCTGTAGAAGTCAACTACGACAGTGAAGAGTACAAAGAAGAATTGAAACTCTCGGAACCGATCATTTGGGACATCACCCGTGAATTCCCTGAAGAAGCCCAAAAGATTGGTATGAACAAAGAGATGAAGTCCATGAAAGACTTCACGGTTTACACCGAGAAGCCAATTGAGGAGTGCACTGAAGAGCAAATCAGGAATGCCATTGGTGTCAAATGGGTCAAGAGATGGAAAACAGACACGGATTTGCGGATGAGATTGGTAGGCCAGGGATGCTATCAGGACGCACAGGCATTGGACTCAGACACACTGTTTGCGAGCACGCCGTCATTGGTCACGTTACGCATCATGCTGATCATGGCGTTGGCACGCAATTGGTGCATTAACCTTGCAGATGTGTCTACAGCATTCCTTCATGCGCCGATGACTGAAGACATTTTCATTTGGCCACCGGCTGAGTACTACCCCGATTTCAAGTGCCTGTGGAAATTGAACAAAGCTATGTATGGCCTGAAACAAAGCCCTCGACTGTGGCAAGAGCATTTTGCCAAGGTCATGGCTAAGCTAGGATTCAGACGATGCAAGTCTGACGGGAACTTGTATTGTCATTCGTCCAAGCAGCTGTATGTTTTGGCCTACGTAGATGACTTGCTGATTGTTGGAGATTCTGAGCAGTCGAAGTTGTTCATTGAAGCCTTAGGCAAAGAACTGTTGGTGAAGATCACTGGCTCATTGGAGCCTGGAACAGAACATTCGTTTCTCGGACGTCGCCTCAAGCACAACGGCGATTCGATCGACATGTTCATGTCGCAGGGTTACATTGAGGAACTGCTTAAGATCTACCAAATGGAATCGGCAAACAATGTCAACACCACTGGCACGACCGCGTTGAAACGCATGCAAGACGCAGACACGCCATTGGAGCCTGCTGAGCACGCTAAGTACCGAACCGCAGTAGGGAAATTGCTCTGGCTAGCTTTCGTTCGGCCGGATTGTTCTTACGCTGTCAAGGAACTCTCGCGTGACGTGAAGTCACCCACATTGGAAAGCTAAGCTGAAGCACTTGTTGAGGTACATTGTAGGCACGAAGCAGTCTGTTCTACGACTACGCCCGAGCCAAATGCTGGCCGCTTGGCGCTGTACCCTTGACGTTGCTTGCTATGTAGACAGCGATTGGGCAGGTTGTTCTCGCACGCGAAAGAGCACCAGCGGAAGCACGGTGCAGATTCTTGATTGCGATGTCATTCACTCCTCGAGGACGCAGGCCACTGTGGCATTGTCTTCTGGCGAGGCTGAACTTTACGCCATAGGCCAAGGAGTGAACGAGGCATTGTTCGTAAAGAATCTTGTCTTGGAAGCGGAGTTTGCGCGACGCGTGCAAATTGTTGCGTACACCGATTCTACTGCAGGTAAAAGCATGGCTACTAGATTTGGTGCAGGAAAGCGTACAAAGCACGTAGAATTACGCTACTTGTACATGCAAAATCTTGTACAGAGCGGATTGCTGCAAGTACGTAAGATAGGAACCAAGTTCAACCCGGCGGATGTATTGACCAAATACGTCTCCACTGAGACACTGCACAACCTCATCGGAAAGCTTGGATTGGTCAGGAGCCCACTTCGATATGGCTGAGCACTGGATCGAAAAAAAGAATTGTTTCACTTTTCCTTTGTTTCCCCGCCCACCCGACCCTTCTTGCCCGCGGCCTTACGGGGCTTGGGTCATTGCATTGCTCTTCCGGTCCTGTTTGAGGGACCGAGGAATTGAGGAATTGTGTCGTTTTCGCTTTGACCTCCGCGGTCTAAACTGGATTGCGTTGAGCTTTGAGAGAAAGAGAGAGAGAAGAACAGTGCTTTCTTGACAGTGCAGTGCATGTGCATTGGCATTGCGGTCATGAGCACGACATGTCAGTCACTGCAGTGTGCATTGTTCAGTCAGTCATGTTGTTTACTTTTATTGTGTTTAAGATGGACTTTATGAGCATCGCTCAACCGCCGTCAACGCAACGCGGTTAGGAGCGGACCGCCATTGAAACGACATTGGCAAACAGGGACCGTCAAAGCATAGCATTTGAACAAAGTGCTCCTTCTGACTGTCATTGTACATAAACCCCGAAATCCTGAAGTGATTTTCCGGTGAGCGGATGGCATGAAGAATTGATTTTCTGCAAATTTTGAAGCATTGGTCACGCTGAACTGTGGCTTACATCGCGTCACATTGCGATCACTCGTTCGATCCTTAGAGTCTGTTGCGCACTGTGTGCGGGAGACATTGGTCTGACAGTGTGTAGCTTGCATCAGCCATGGCCGACGCCCCGATGCCTCAGCAATTGGCATTGCCAGACGCTCAACTTGGAAGAGTTGAAAGAGAGAAAGGAAAGATTGATCCGCGACGCCACAATGGGAAACGGGAATCTTCAGCAGATGATTGTGGATTCCATTGGTTGGCTGCCGGACGAGCAGCTTTGCCAGTCCATTGCACGAAACGTTGCTCTGGACGTCCCAAGGGCGAAAACCGCACTGAAGAAATTGCGGATCATCGAGAAAGGGATTGGAACGATGCTCATCAATGCAGCGGATACCGGGAGTTTGACCAGCCTGGAACCCCTGGACATCAATCCACTGCGATTGGTGACACTGGATTGCCTTAAATCGAGCAGATGGCCCGACCCCCTTGGGTGTGGCCCCTCAGTGGCCATTGCCTGGGGATTGATGAGGATGAATGCCCAGGGTGGAAGGACATTGGGTCAGGTCACAAATTTCTCTCCGGATTGGCTGTGGCATGCCAACCAAGCCTTCCTGCCATTGAGTCTTCGCACGATGCTCATCAGCCACTGGCGGATTGTGCATGTGAACCCGGTTCCGACGATCCCGGATTCATTGGTCTCCTTTCCTTGCTTCATCGCATTGCCGAACACAGTTGCTATGCGATTGGTCGAGACAGGCAGGCTATTGGTCAGCGATTTTCCGTGCCAACAGGCAAATTCTTTCCTTTCAGTGGCACACAGCCTTTCGAAGCTCCTGATGTGGATTGATCAGATCCCAAGCATCAAGGCATTGCGAGATGAGAACTTGATGATCGTTGGCGTGAACCACGCAGTGGGAAGATTGCCAGTTGTGTTGAAGAACGCTGATGGCACTGGTGGTCTGAAGCATTGGCATAACCAAAGCTACTGCGGATTTGCCGAATGAGATTGAGATTGTCCTGACCCAGGAAGAAGTGAGCACATTGGTGGTCTTGGACACGCAGACCACATTGCGTGAGCTGACTGATGGTCTCCATTGGGACATGGTGCATTCTGGACAGCATTCCATCCACCGGCACATTGCGTTGCCGTCGAAGCTCAGCTTCCTATTGGGAGCAGGTCGCACAGCAGGACCCGGAGCCTCATTGCAGAGCACATTGGCAAGCCAGCGGAATGCTTTGAGTCGGAACAGCATTGGCAGCTCGGAAGTGACGATCATCGACGATGCTGGAAGCCGATTGCGAATCACCACGACGATCAACAAGATCGATTGAAGTGCAGTGGCGCTCAACAATTTTGTCTGGCCTGGAAAGATGAGATTGCATTTGATTGGTTCTTGCTTTGATGATTGGTTTTACAGTTGATGCTTTTCATTGGTGATGATGTGGTTTCTTCATTTGCTGCAGCTCATTGGACCCCGATTGGAAACTTTGCTGACCGTTTCTCAGGACCACCCCGTGTGGTGTATTGATTCGGATGCATTGGAGCATTCGGAACGCCAAAGAACTTTGCAGGTTTCGTTGCAAGTTCTCTTTTGAAGCGATTGCGGTTCGCTTACCAAGCAAAAGGACTGAACCGAGCCTCTGAGTGCAATGTTTACTGCTGAGCTGATTGGTAGTCGTTTGCAGTTGAGATTTTTTTCGATATACACCGTTGAGTAGTTGATTGAGTCTTTGTTTTACGAACTCATTTGAATTGTGACTTGAGAACAGCACAGACAACCATTGTCTCTGCTGAGGGACCGTGTTAGAATAGAAGGTCACAATTGGCATGCTCCCAGAGAGGCATTGATGCAGTGGCATGCTCAACATGAGCATTGACTCGATGCTTTGGCTCAAGGCGGCACAAATAAGATAGCTGAGTGAGTGATTGCATCAAGTGACTTTGCTGTGCATCTTGTGTACTCTGGATTGTGTGACCAAGCCAGTCTGTGAACACTGATCTTGTAAAATTTCATTAAGGGGGGGCTTAAGGGGGGGCTTAAGGGGGGCTTAAGGCTTAAGGGGGGGCTTAAGGGCTTTGACCCTTTGTCCGCCCCCCCCCCCCCCCCCAAAAAACCC